TTTTCAAAAACTCCTCCCACCTCCGAGGGTGGAGTCATCTACTGTGGAATGGACATATGCGAGTACTCACATAAAAAGAGACTGTTTCCTGTGTCCGTAACAGGTGTTCTTTGAGATGTGTTGCTCATGTCCATGCCGTGACCTGCCCTCCTTCCCCACTGTCGGAGTTTCTGACAAGAAGGAACCGAAGGCTGGGCAGAGCTGGGAGTTCCCCTTATTCCGCACATTGAGGGTGCTACGCAGAGGTCACCAGAGTCACTCCCCTACGGGTACTGCTAAGGGGAAAACTGGCACTGGTGCACATGGCAAGCACATGCACCTAACGTGGAATGGACATTAGTAATAAATCTTGAAGTTATGGAAATAGGTAACTCTCTTTTTATCTCTTTCAGGAAACTACATGTCATTTTTTAGCATTTCTGCATACAGTGGCTTTCTCTCTCCTAACACTGCATACCAACATTTGCCCTGTGCTTAGCAAACTCTTTTCTGTGCAGCCTGCCAAATCTTCCCTGTGTGGGCTGAGGTGAGATGTGGTTCTATTAACCTCGCATCCAAATTTCTCATCCTTGTAGGTTGTACTGATCAATGCTATCAAGGATGTTGCTAAAGCCCTTTCTGATCTCATTGGTGCTACAAAAGGAGCTGCCAGCAAACCAGCAGATGATCCATCCATGTACCAGCTCAAAGGTGCAGCCAAGGTGGGTAGTTGTGACATTTCTCCTTTTAAGAGAAGTCTTAGAGAGGTTATCTCAGCTTCTGTTACAGAAGTTGAAAATGTTCCCTTGCTTATTCCTTGCTGTTTGCTTTGATGTTCATTTAAAGAAATAGCTGTCATCTGCTAGAATCCTAAAGACGGATGACTGTGAATTCTCATTCACTTTAGTCTAATTATTTTCCTCCTCTCCTCCCCCCCATCCTCCATTCCACCAACTTAAGCTGGGTGGATTGTGGCTGGTAGAAAGCTGGATAGTATTATTCATGTCAATAACCATAAACATAACATCAGTTTTCTCAGTCCATCGTCCCACAACGAGTTAAAAACTCACTCCTCTGGACGGACATCTTTTTCCCTCTGTAAACATGTACATCTGGAGGGAGAATGGAGTTCCTTAGTATATTCAAGATACGAGACTAAAAGTTTACTCTATAAAAATGTACTTGAACCCTATAGCAAGGGTAATGAACAAGTAACAAGTAGTCACATTATAAGTATCCTGGTGTTGAGATGCTGACTTGATCCTTTCAGCTTTTAGAAACTGGTCTGGAGATTTCATACAAGTTTTCTATAAGATGTAGTGTGCTTTCTGATCACGTCTGTCACAGGCAGGCATTTCTCACTTCTAACAGAAGTGTCTATTGGTCAGTGCACAGGATTTGAATTTCCTCCTCATTCTCCATCCAAAGACCTGAGATGAGCTTAAGTGCTGTCATGAGAGCATTTGTTGGTGGGACAATGTAGGTATGTTTAAACTACATGGCTCTGTCGACGGAGCCATGTAGATTTGTTGTTTTGGCAAAGGCAAATGAAGCCGCGATTTAAATGATCGCAGCTTCATTTACATGGCTGCCGCGCTGAGCCGACAAACAGCTGATCAGCTGTTTGCAAAGGCAAATGAAGCCGCGATTTAAATGATCGCGGCTTCATTTACATTTACATGGCTGCCGCGCTGAGCCGACAAACAGCTGATCAGCTGTTTGTCGGCTCAGCGCGGCAGCCATGTAAATGTAAATGAAGCCGCGATCATTTAAATCGCGGCTTCATTTGCCTTTGCCTATGTGTCTAATCTACATGCCTCTGACGACAGAGGCATGTAGTCTAGACACAGCCTGTGTCTTAACTTTGGAACTTAGTTACTTTGTGTGTTGGAACCAACGTTTGACCATCATGGCATAAGGCAAGACTAGCTGAAGTATTGATTCAGCCTTTTGCAGGAAGAAGTAGTCATTAAAACAAGATTTGGGTTGATTTCCTGGAAGTTGGCTGACTTCTTTTCAGTTGATGGCAGTTGTGTGTTTAATTGTGGTTTTACAAACTGTTCCAAGAGAACATAATAGTGGTATTTCACAAATTAGTAAATGTGCCTGATCTCTGAAAACTTTGAGGTTTATAGTTGTGGGGGTGGTCAGTAATGGAGGCAAAGGAGCTGGCACTAATTTCTGTAACTTAGAAGCTTGGTGACCTTTCATCTTTCTGTAGACGATTCATATCTGATGTGGAGAAGGGGTTCTGTCAACTTGAAACTGTATGATTGGTGACGTTATAGCGTAAGTTCTGTTGAGCAAATTTGCATGATGAGGTATGACAGGTCACCGGTGTGCCCAGAGACACAAATGTTGGGACTCCTGGAGAGGTGTTCCAGATTACCCATTCGGAACTGTGAGGAGGCTGAATCTGATGGGTGATTGCTTGGTCCCTGAGGAGAGCGAGAGAAGAGGATCCAAGGAAGGGTTGGGAGCTAGAAGGGGGAGGGACGCACAGGCAGGCCCTTGTAAGATCACGCTTTCCCTATCGGAGTACAAAGTAGATATGCAGTGAATGCTGTTGTGATGCTTGTTTTGTTAACTTGGGTTAAGTGAAGCGTAGTGGTCTTACAAACCCAGAAACCAGAGGCATAGTCAATTGATTGGTTTTGAAGAGATCTACGGAACCCTCAAAATAGTTGGGCCAAACAGCCAGGTTTACTCAGAGGTAAGTGTTCTGCGAAGAAGCTTAGAGGGGTAAAAAAAGCAACCCAGAGATACTAGTGTTGAAAAAGGTATGTACCCAGGCATGGGTGAGTTTAGGAAAACACAGCTATTCTTGTATCTGGCTGTATAAATCTAACTTCAGTAAAGATGATTCAGAAATAAAAGCCCGTCTATAAAGTTCACTCTCAGCTGTTTAACCCCTACTGTATATAAAGCTGTTGCTCTCTAGGGGAATTAGTAATGGCTTCATAGTTTGATGTTCCTTGAATCATCTGGCAGGGTGGCCTCTCACAGGTGGGAGAAGGGAATGATGTATTTTCTTCTCTCCCTCCCTCTGTTTCAGGTGATGGTAACCAATGTCACATCGCTTCTGAAGACTGTTAAAGCAGTAGAAGATGAAGCTACTCGAGGCACAAGAGCACTCGAGGCCACAATTGAGTGTATCAAACAGGAACTCACGGTAAAGAACGGAATAATTGCACATGGCAGCTTTCTAAAGTACACTCTTAAAACCAAATCAAGCCTCCGTGGAGGTGCCTCCACCAATGTTTTGGCTGCTCTGCTGTGACGTAGAGGCAGTGTGGGCCTTCCCCAGTGATTGCCTGTCACTTCCGCATGTCGCCGATCTCCCGTTAGGCTGTATTTCTCAGGTGTGAGGTGCTACTGTCATGAAATACGCTTGGAGCAACTGGTTTTTCATTCCTCCAGCCATGAAGCTTTCACTGTAAAAGTTATTTTCTGAGTCAACTGTTCCCCTTTCATTGAGCTTGGTTTGTAAACGTTTCTCCAGTGCCAACGGGCAGCTCTGTCGGCACTTGAAGTTTGAAACTCGCCTCCATTTTTTTTTTCTCTTTGGCATGAAGTCACGTGACCAGGATAAATAACCTGATAACTGCGATTTCATCCAAGCAGAAATTACATGCAGTACCAAATTAGATCTTAAACCAAAAGGCTTATTTCCTTCCCCCTTTCCAATACAGTTTTTTGATCCCCCAGCTGCTGCTTTCACATGCTGCTTTTATAAACCACTGGTCAGTGATGTAAATTAATACCTTGGTATGTTTGGGGAGGGTAAAATATCCTCCCTTATTTACACAGGTGACACATGGGGGTGCATTTCCCTCTACCACGGTGGGAGGGCCAGCGCTGGCAAGTTCCCCTCCCCTGCCTTCTCTCCCTCCCAGCCCATGCTGCTCTGAGGAGTGCCAGGAAAAGGCAGACAGAGGAGGAACCCAGTGCCCCCTTCTTCCTCTGCCACACATCGCCACTGCTTACTTAGTAAAATAATCATGATGGGGGAGAGACTGGACTGGAGAATGCTTTGTTATATCATTTGTGGACTTAGTGCTCAATAGCTCTATCGACAAAACTTTTGTCACCTTGAACATTCCCATTGTGGCAGTCCTTATGGGCTCATTCTTTTCTGGCTTGTTTTTCACTAAACATAGGAACAGACCAATGGAGTCACATAAATTATCCTCCTGCATCTGGAGACACCCCCCCCTCGTCCAGATCTCCCCTGCATCTGGACCCAACCTTGAACCCAGACCCTGCCCCCTGCAATTGAACCTGTAGCCCGCAAAGCTTCACCCATCCTGCTCTTGGACCACTGTGACTAGCCTCCTGCATCGAGGCGCTCACCCCACTTGAACCCCACCCAGCCAGCACCTACATCCCCTGCTAAGCCCTCCTTTCTCCCTGCTGACCCCCAAACACCTTCACCTAGACCCCCCAGCAGAGTCCCATTGGATCTGCACCCGAAACCCACTCTCCCAATGAGCCCCTGTTCATCCATATCTCCTTCACATCTGGGCCCCCCCAACCAAACTGCCCGCACCTAGATTGCCCCAAGCAGAATCCTGTCACCCAACACATGGCTCTCCCCTCACTAAGTTCCCCCATACTTGGATGCTGCTTGGCTGAGCCTGCCTATTTAAGAGTCCCATTGGATCTGCACCCGAAACCCACTCTCCCAATGAGCCCCTGTTCATCCATATCTCCTTCACATCTGGGCCCCCCCAACCAAACTGCCCGCACCTAGATTGCCCCAAGCAGAATCCTGTCACCCAACACATGGCTCTCCCCTCACTAAGTTCCCCCATACTTGGATGCTGCTTGGCTGAGCCTGCCTATTTACATCTCAAGCACGTGACACCAAGGGGCCAGGGATGTTTCTGGGTCAGTCCTAGCCCTTGTGCTGTGTCAAGATCAGGTGCAACTTTACCGCTGAGTTTATGTCCAGAGGAGAAGAGGGAGCAAGGTGATCTGCCTCTGTGTAGTCACATGCCTGTGCTCCCCACTGCCATATGATGTGCAGAATTTTGCAGCATTTGAAAGGTTTTGGTGCAGAATGCCCTCAGGGGGAGCCCAGTCCAGTTGTGCAAGGCTTACGAATGGCAAGCTAATAAGGAATAAAGCTGAAAAAGGAGGCACTAAAAGCCAGGATAAGCTCTAGCTGACTTGTGTTACCTATAATGTTTTTATTCAGGTAATTACTTCCAACAGTCAGAGGAATGAGGTGTGTGTGGTCATGTAGGTCAATGTCTTCCTCTTGACATGAGTTCCCCTCCTTCTACAGTTAGGTTTGTAACAAAGGACCAAGTGTAGAAAAGAGGCACTACTGCATTTTCTCCAGCCCTCTTTAGAAAGGGTTTTGGGGCATATTAATATATCCAGTGCTTCTCAGTGCTGTTCCTGGCTGGGAGGACACGTTCGAGTACAGCTCGTAAGGAAGGAGCATCTCTGTATGCCAGGTACGCTGTACCGGTCCCATTGTCAGGATGGAAAAATACATGGATAAGAGTAGCAGATACTGATCAGTAACTCAGTTTCTGGCTACCCTATAACAGATTGTTTAAATGGCAAATGTTGGGTGTCTTCCATTTCAAGTGAATAGGTTACACTTTTGTGCGTACTTCCCACAGCTTAGTGTTTCTCTCTGCTGTGTGTAGATGTGCAAGGCTTATCCGAGCCAGGCTCTGCCAGAGTGATAGTTCAGTACTCCAATTACATTTCTGATTCCCTGCCATTTGAAAGCTGCTTCCGATTGCTGTCTGTTTCAAGTGCTGTGCTTTTGTGATCTGACTCTTAAAGGATAACTAGATCTCTCTTCTGCTTCAACTTCCAGGTGTTTCAGTCAAAGGAGGTTCCAGAAAAGACATCATCACCTGAAGAATCGATCCGGATGACGAAAGGAATCACCATGGCAACTGCCAAAGCTGTTGCAGCTGGGAACTCATGCAGACAGGAGGATGTGATTGCTACAGCGAATCTGAGCCGCAAAGCAGTAGCTGATATGCTAACAGCTTGTAAGGTAAAGATTCATTCCCTCTCCTAATATTTTAGGTGTCTAAATCCTTAAATTTAGTTTGTGTTTGTCTTTGAGAAACTAATTATTGTGAGAATTATGAAGTATGACTTAACATCCTATGCCAGAAAGAGAGGGTTTCTGTGCTATGCAAAAGAAATATGGATTAATGTTCTGGTTTCTTTTTGGAGAGAGAGGAAAGTTTTTTGTTTTGTTTTTTTTATGATTGATAAAAAATCTGCCTGAGTTCTTGTTTCTTTTTTTAAACTGCAAAACAAACTCAGTACAAACAATGGAGCATAAAAATAATGTAATTGTCACCTGATTTTAATATAATGAGGAAAATAATGTGCTGATGTATTGTCAGTATTCCTTTGCTTTCTAAACAACCTTACTGATCTGTTGAATTCCTACAGTGCTTTTAAAGAGTATGTGCCTTTTTATTTTTACTAAATGTAATCCTTCTGTGAGCTGAACTTTTGGAATCTGTGTTTGAGGCAGACAGCTTTCCAGAAATAGTTCTGTAAAACGACTCGCCTACCTGGTAGTAATGTAAAACATACTCATGACCACTTCCCTTCATGCTGAGGTAAGGAAGGGATTATTTGTAATTAGTAGGGGCAAGCCAAAAAGGGGGTTTTACAGAGGCAATTCATTGAGTTTTTAGCAGTGAAATTATGATCACTCTTACTCATAATCACTATTTATGCATCTTTGCTCCTCAAGGTACAAATGATTGCAAGAGAGGAATTAAAGCTTGGGCAGTTTGGCAGGTGCAGAGTTTAAAATTTAGTCAAATTTTTCCCTGTGTAGGTCTATCAATCACTTTTTATCTCCATTATGACTGGAGGTAAGGCTAAGATGGGTTTTAATTTTATTTTTAAATTTATGATTCTGCATTCTGATTTATGTATATATCTTGAATCTAAATCCTTACATCATTTTGACCTTGATGTTCTTTCATGTATTTAACACAATACATGTTCCTGAGCACTCGGCTTGCCTTTGGCTTTTGATTCCCTTCCTCCTCTCCCCCAATAAACAGAAAAACTTGGAAGTATAAGCTATACAGGCAGTCCCCGGGTTACGTACAAGATAGGGACTGTAGGTTTGTTCTTAAGTTGAATCTGTATGTAAGTCGGAACTGGCGTCCAGATTCAGCCGCTGCTGAAACTGATCAGTTTC